ACGATGACGAGGAGCAGGCCTATGATGATGTCGAGCAGGCCTATGAGTTCGACTTTGATGCAGCTGAGCAGCTACAACCACATCCACCGCCACCGCCACCGCCACAGCGGCAGCTACAGCCACAGCCACAGCCACAGCCACATCCCCAGCCCCGGCCACAGTCACAGGCACGTCCAGGTAAACGACTTGCCCGAGTGGATCCTCCACGACAGGCTGGGGGTCGTTATGCGGGCGCATCCTCATCATCAGGTAAATGATTTACGTATTTATTTTGTTTACAATCGCTAAATAATATAAAAAAAAAATATAATATTAATTTTAGATTAAATAACTTCAGGAAAAAAAAGTTTATAATATTTTTTTATGTTTATGTGACTTTCATATATAATTTAGTTTAAACTATAGTTTTTAGTTTTAATAATAACTATTATATGATATAATAAAAACTGTACTTATTACTTCGTTAATAGTTTAGCATTAATTAGATATGGTCGATTAATAATAATAATAATAATAATAATAATAATAATAATAATAATAATAATAATAATAATAATAATAATAAAGTTTGTAACGAGTTTGGAGGGAAATCGAAATGAAGTTTTATTAAATGTTTTAATAAATGCTGTTAGGCAACAATTATATATATATAGATTTTATTTAATAATAGTGCATTATTGATATAGTCAATCACAATATGTTGTATATATACTAATTGTTCTTTTTTAATACAGAGGCGAGCAGCAAACGCACTAAGTGCGACGACTGGCTTGTTAAAGCCCCAGTACCCGGTGGCCCCGTCGACGGGAGTGTTATCCCTAGTTTTCTAGGGCACGTAGCCTCCCGGATTTGGACTGGATAGCTCAGAGGCACGTTGAAGTGCCAAAACAGGATGTCGGCCAACGGAGTTTTGAGGGAGTGGCTCGCAGGGATGGATGACAATGCTCATTTTCACAGGCAGCTCTTACCTCAAATTTCAACACGCTAGTTTAGAAAATAAAATTATTTGTACATTTTCACATTACATAATATTTGTAAGAAACGGAGGAAAACGGTGCGGTCCCACGCAAGTAAAGCGTATCAAGACAGGAAAAACTCAGATGAGACTCAAGTGAAGTTTCATCCCAAAACCAATTAGTGGAAGGAAGAGTAACTCATTAGACATATAAGTTAGGTATATTTTCCCTATATAAATGATGTGAGACAACTCACAAATAGATATTCTAATTGTAAGAAACTGGAGAGAAAACGGGTGCCATCCCACTAAAGCCCATATGAAGCCCAAATGGGGTTCCATCCCAAAACCAATTTGTGGAAGGAGGAGCCCATTAGACTTATAAGGTGGGTCTATTTTCCATGTATGAACGATGTGGGACAGCCCACAAGTGATATTTTAACACGCGCCCTCACTTGTGAGTCCTTCGGAAGCCCAAGCTCAACTGGGTGCCCCAAGCCTACTAGAAGTAGACTCCCATAAACGGGTACCTGGGGAAGCAGACTCCCATAAACGGATGCGAGAAGCCCAAGCCCAACTGGGTGCCCCAAGCCTACTAGAAGCAGACTCCCATAAACGGGTACGTGGGAAAGCAGATTCCCATAAACGGGTACGTCATCGCACGGTCCCAATAGAACCGGCTCTGATACCATGTAAGAAACTGGGGGAAAAACGGGGCGGGCCCACTAACATGAAGCGCACCATGAATGGGAAAAACCCATATGAAGCCCAGGTGGGGTTCCATCCCAAAACCAATTAGTGGAAGGAAGAGTATCCCACTAGACTTATAAGGTGGGTCTATTTTCCATGTATGAACAATGTGGGACAACTCACAAGTGATATTCTAACACGCTCACTCACTTGTGAGTCCTTCGGAAGCCCAAGCCCAACTGGGTTGGGTGCCCCAAGCCTACTAGAAGCAGACTCCCATAAACGGGTACGTGGAAAAGCAAACTCC